CTTTAAGGGATGATGTTGGATCTGGATTAGAGTTGTAGCATGCTTGGATAATACTGAGTTTTATTATTTTGGACACATGGCTTTTCTGGAGAATTCTACTACACATTCAGGAAATAGCTGACACAAATTCTACTTAAACTACTCCAGATAGAGAAAAGATTGAATACTCCTCAATTCATTTCACGGAACAGGCCTATCCTTGGTACTAAAGCCAACAAAGACATCATTAAAAATAAAATTATAGACAACTATCCTTCATGGAAATAGATGCAAAGTTTCTCAATACATCCTAGCCAATATAATCCAACAGCATAATGGAAAACTACTGTATCATGATCAGGCAGGGTTCATATCAGGTATTCAGGACTGGTTTAGCACTAGAAAACAATCAACACAATCTGCCATATAAATAGACAAAAAATAACACATGATAATCTTGATCAATGCAAAAAAGCCATTTGATAAAATTCAACAGTCATTACTAATAATAGCTCTCAGCAAAATAGGAATAGAAGGGAAATTACTGGACATAATTAAGGGAATATGCATAAAAACAACCATGAATATTAGTCTCAAAGGAGAGAGACTGAAGTCATTCATGGGAACTAGACAAAGATGTCCATTCAATGTGTATTTGTAATCCCAGCCAAAGCAATAATACAAGAAAGGGAAATAAAAGGCATCCAAATTCATAAGGAAGAAGTTAAACTCTCCCTTTTTGAAGGTGATAAAACCAAAATGATCCTATAAATAGAAAAATCCCAGAGACTTAATAAGAAAGATACTGGAACTAACAGAAGGATTCAACAAAGTGGCAGATTACAAGATCAACATGCAAAAATAAGTTGGATTCTCCTACATTAACAAAGAGAACTTTGAAAAGAAAATTAGGAAAACAATACCATTTAAAATAGCCTCACAAATAATGGGATGTCTTAGAATACACCTAACCAGAGATACAAAAGACTTGTACAAAGAAAACAACAAAACAGTACTACAAGAAACCAAAAAGACACATATAGTATTGGAAGAACATATTACACTCATGGATTAAAATAAATAAGTAAATAAATAAAAATAACTCCTCTTGAGTCAGTTTCAACTCTTAGAGACCCCTCCTTGGGCTTCTGAGGCAGTATCTCTACAGAAGTAGATTGTCCAATCTTCCTACTGAGGAGTGGCTGACAGGTATGAACCAAAAGACTTCTGGTTAGCAGTCAAATGCCTTAGGCACTATAAACCGGAGGAATACTTAATATAAAAATAAAGTAAAATAAAAATATTGTAATCTGATGATATGCTTTGTAGCATTTTGATTTTTTTTTTTTTTTTAATTTATTGAGGCTTTCTTTGTGGCCTAAAATGTGATCTTTGCTGGACAATGACACAAATGTGCTGGTAAAGAATGTACTTTGTGCTGTTGTTGGGTGGAGTGTTCTATATATGTCTATGAGGTCAAGTTAGCTGATTGTGTTGATTCAATCCTTTGGATCTTTGTTGAGTATATTTCTATTGCTCTTTCTTTCATCAAAAGTGGTGTATTAATATCTGCTCCCAATCAGTACTCACATGCAAGTTCCATTTGAAGCTGAAGAAAATTAAACTAATCCAAGTACCAAAACTGCAAACTTGAGGATATCCCACCTGAATTTAGAGACAATTTCAAGAATAGATTCAATGTATCAAACACTAGTGACCAAAGATGAGACCAATTGTGCGATAAGGTGAAAGACATCATACATCCAGAAAGCAAAATGTCATTAAAAAGACAAGGAAGAGATAAAAGACTAAAATGGATGTCAAAAGAAAATCTGAAATTTTATCTTGAAACCAGAGTAGCTAAAATGAGTGGAAAAAAATCATGAAATAAAAGAACTGAACAGAAGATTTCAAAGGCTGTCTTGATAAAACAAAGTAAAATATTATAATGAAATGTACAAAGACTGGAGATAGAAAACCAAAATAGAAGAACACACTTGCTATTTCTCAACCTGAAAGAACTGAAGTGGAAAAAAAGAAAAGAAAATCAAGTCTCAAGTAGCAATATTAAAAGATTTTATGGGTAAAATATTGAATGACACAGGAGACAGCAAAAGATGGAAAGAATACACTGAGTGACTCTACCAAAATGATTGGCTGATGTTCAACCAATTTAGGTGATAGCATATGATCAAGAAACTATGGTATTGAAGGAAGAAGTCCAAGCTGCACTGAAGACACTGGGAAAAAGAAGGCTTCAGGAATTGATGGAATATCAATTGAGAGGTTTCAACAAACAGATGAACAACTAGAAGTGCTGCCATCTATACCAAGAAATTTAGAACATATCTACCTGGCCAACTGCTTGGACAAGATTCATATTTGTCCCATTCCAAAGAAAATTGATCCAACAGAGTTCAGAAATTATGAAGCACTGCCATTAAAATGAAACACAAGAAAATTTTGCTGAATACGATTAAAAAATTGTTGCAGCAGTACATACACAGGAAATTTCAAGAAATTATAGCTAGATTGAGAAGATTTTGAACAAGATATATCATTGCAGATTTCAGATTGATCTTGACTAAAAACAGATAATACCAAAAAGTGTTTATCTATGTTTTGTTGCCTATGAAAGGCATTTGACAGTGTGAATCATAACTGTGCTCATGTGGAACCTGTACATAAACAAAGAAGCAGTCATATGAACAAAACAAGGGTGTGGTAGTTAAGATTATGTGCCAACTTGGCTGGGCCTGGTTTTGAGTGGCTGGGCAGCTGGATGTAGTGATTCCCCATGATGAGACTTGTAATCAGCTCCATGGTGGACTCCACTGGAGCAGCTGAGTAGCTGCCTTAGGGTTGGGGGGCGGTGTGTCTGCTTCCAGTGTATAAGAAGCTTTGAAAAAGGTCTCTGCAGCTTTTGGCACACTTGAATCCTAAATGTAGCTGAGTTTTTTTCAGCAGCCTGCCATATTCTCTGCTGATCTTGGGAGTGTTAATGGACTTGAATTAGCAGTCTGTCATGTGGTTTGATAATTTTGGGACTGTGCCATTTTATTTGGCAACCTTGGATTTGTCAACCTCAGTAGTCAGAAGCTGCCTGAGTGAAGAGACAACTCCAGCTTCAGTGGGCTGGAAGCAAAGGCATAGCTAAGGTTGAGGGGATTTCACCCAGGCCCTAGAGATGGTACTTTGAACTCAGACTTCTAGTCTTCTAAACTGTAAAATGATAAACTCTTGTTTGTTAAAGTCACCCACTTGCAGTGATTTCTGTTTGAGTAGCACTAGAGAGCCAAAACAAAGGGGATAATGCATGCTTTAAAATCAGGAGAGTTGTGCATCAGGGTTGGATACTTTAATTATACTTACTCAGTCTGTATAAAGAGTAAATAATCAGAGGATCTGGACTACATGAAGAAGAGCTTGGCATCATGATTGAAGGAAAACACATTAAGAACATGTAATATACATATGGCACATTTTGTTTGCTGAAAGTGAGAAAGACTGAAACACTTACTGATGAAAATCAAAGACTACAACCTTCAGTATTGATTACACCTCACCTCAAATAATAAAGAAATCCTCCTAACTGGACCACAAGCAACATCATGATAAAAATAGAAAAGTTTGAAGTTGTCAAGGACTTCATTTTACTTAGATCCACAATCAAAGTCCATGGAAGCAGCAGCCCAGAAAGCAAAGGACATATTGCATTGGTCAAATATGCTACAAAAGACCTTTTGAAAATATTAAAGAGCAAACAAGGGCTTGACTCAACCCATGGTATTTTCAATTATCTCATATTCATGTGAAAACTGGACAATGAATAAGGAAGACTGAAGAAGAATTGATGCACTTAAGTTACGGTGTTGATGAAGAACATTGAATAAATCATGTACTTCCAGAAGTACAAACAAATCTATCTTAGACAAAGCTCAGTGTGATTGATCCTTAGACATGAGGATGGTGAGATTTTGCCTCTTATACTTTGGTCATGTTATCAGGAGGGATCAGTATCTGGAGAAGGACATTATACTCATTAAAGTAGAAGGTTAGCAAAGAAGAGAAAGATCTTCAATGAGTTGGGTTGACACAGTGGCTGCCACAATGTGCTCAAACATAGGAATGGTTGTGAAGATGGCACAAGATTGGGCAGTGTTTCATTCTTTTGTACATAATGTCACTATACTTCAGAACCAACTTGACACCTCAAACAATAATAATTTTTCTTACTATTATCTTGAAGCTGTCCATCTATCTTTTCATTTCTGTTAAATTAGATATATGTATTTTGAATCTTTCATTGGGTGCAGAGATATTGATTATGCTATGTTCTTTTGCCATTACATAATTCCCTTCTTTATCTCTTACACTGGTTTTTAACTTAAAGTCTATTTTATCAGGAATTAATATTGCCACTCTTTCTTTTTTGTGTATTTAAAATTTTTTTATTGTGGTCTGAGTGAAAGTTTACAGAGCAAATTGGTTTTTTTCTTTAAATAATTCATACATATTTTGTTTTGTGATATTGATTACAATGCCTACTTCTCACTGAGTTTATCATTTCCATTCATCAGACTTTCCTATCCCTTCCTACTTCTGAGCTTTTTCCCTAGGTACAAGCTGCTCTTTTTTTTGTCTCATGTGGCTGATTATTCTAAGGAATGAATCCCCATCCAGTGCTATTGTTCACCTTATAGATCTGTCTATTGCAAATGATTTCAAAATTAATTCATAATTTGTCTCTTCTAGCATTCTCTAGATAATTCTAAAGATAAATTTTTACCAAAATTAGAGTCTTTAGCACTTATGTTTCAGACATCAGAAAATGTGCATTTTTGTACAGGAAAAACTCATATCACATATGGATGTACTACTGTCTTATGCTGACTCATGATACATATTGACTGTTATATAGAAATTAAGTCAGGTCCCCAATCTTGGAAATAGGCAAGAAAGCAAATTTTGAAGTATTTTGAACTCGTCTCATCAAAATAACAATGTTTTGAAATATCTTTTCATTTTCTTGAATAGAGCATTCTACCCATAATTCTTCTTACAGCTCCCTTTATCTGCTTGTTCCGAAAACTGTAGATAATAGGATTTAGGAAGGGAGGGACTACAGAGTAGAATACAGAACTGACCATGTCCTGAATTGTGGGTGAGTTGGAAGTTGGCTTCATATATACAGCAGCACCTGAGCTGAGAAATACTGTCACCACAAGAATATGTGGAACACAGGTAGAAAAAACCTTTCCTCGTTCTCCTCTGATAGGAAACTTGAGCACAGTGGAAAATATGTGAATGTAAGACAAGATGATGAAGAAAAAACAGCCACCTGAATATATGGTTGCAGAGACAAAAACTGTAATCTCATTGGTGAAGATGTCAGAGCAGGAGAGCTGTAGAAGAGAAGGTATGTCACAGAAAAATTGATGGACTATGTTGGACTGACAGAAGGAGAGTTGGAATGTGAGACTTGTATGGAGTCCTGAGTAGGCCAGACCACTGACTAGGCAGGCCAGAGACATCTGGACACAGACCTTATGGTTCATGACCAAAGGATAGTGAAGGGGTTGGCAAATAGCCACATAGCGGTCAAGGGCCATAATGGTAAGTAAGAGCAGTTCTATGGAAGCAAACATTAATACAAAGAAGATCTGAGCTGCACATCCAGTCTTGGAGATTACCCTGTTTTCAAGTAGGAATATGGCACATGCTTTGGGTACAATGACAGAAATGTAGCACATGTCCAAGACAGACAGATTCCTAAGGAAGAGATACATGGGAGTGTGAAAACTCTGGTCAAGGGTGGTTATTGTGACAAGGAGAAGGTTTCCCAGCAGTGTTGCCAGGTAAGTCAGTAGAAACAGCATGGCGTGCAAGACTCTGAGCTCCCACACATCAGAAAATCTTGTAAGCAAAAATTCAGTCACTATGGTAGAGTTAGGCATCTGTAGGTGCTTTGTTTTAGACAGGAGAGACAAAGGAAAAGAATCCCTAAAAATATGAAGAATCAACCTGTGGAAAAATTAGCATAAGTATGTTTCTTATCTTATATTTACCCAGTTTTCTTCTACCCCATTGGTATTAGTTATTAGGAATTAATATGTTGCCCTCTGGCCCTTTATTCTCAGTATTTTTATCTTTAAGGCAGTGATATAAAATTTAATCTTGTGCCCATGCTTGCATAGATTTCTATTACCTACTACTGGTACAATGTATATATTGGAAATCAGGTTTGGCTGGAAGATTGAGTTAATATAGATAATGTGTATGCATCTTGACCCATTAAAATAATTATATAAGTGTTCACACTTATTATTCATTGATGATTTCTTGGAATTTCAACAGCAATTAGAGGCTACCATTTTACCAAACCTCTGAAAAGTCTGCAATCGGTCTAGTATCTACACAAAGATTGAGAAATTACTTTTATCTTCCCATCCACCATCATAATTTTTGTTACTTATTTTGTTTGGAAATTTACTTTCAATAATTCATTTCTCTGATGACCATCTTTTTTAGTGCACATATATATTTCTTCCCAGAAAGTATTGCCATTTACTCTTTTAATATTAACATAGGATTCTTCAACCTATTTCACCCTATTTTTTTAAAAATTAATTATTATTTTATCCTAGACATTATGATCAACAAAATAAATGATATGAACTTTTAGTTGTATTTATTTAGAATGTCCTATGTAGTTTATACATTACTCACACATTATGTATTCTCATTATTTATTTAACTCTGAATATTGGTAAATATCATACGCAGTTTTAAAATAAAATTCTGGATCATGAAAAATGAAGAACACTTTTAATCCATGGAGTTTTAAGTGAAAGGACATGAATTCAAATTCCAGTTTGTCTGCTCAAATGGTACATTTCCACATTTCCTCCACCAGAAATCCTGATCCTATTCTGTTTGTCATACACAAAATATGACCATTGTGCAAGCTGAACATTCATTTGTTTGATTGCATTCCTGCTTTCTGAGTAATGTAGAAACCACAAAAAAACTAATTTGTAAAACAGTTTAAGGCACTGCAATCCAGAATTAATACTGTACATAAGTTCATTGATTTCCTACAGATTGAGTAATAAGTTACTTATGTGAAATGTCCAAATCCATATCTGTATTTCCTGATGTTCCACAAAAGTACTTTAAAACTTCAGTACAGGAGAGTTTGGTTTAGCCCACTGAGTAGAGTAACATATTGATATTTCCATGTCTCATCTAAACATGATTATAATTTAAAGTACATGTAAAAACTCCTGATACTTAATGCTGACATTTTAATAATCTCAATATAAAATAATTCTTATTTATTTTCCCTCATTCTTTTCTTCTTGGAATAGAGTCATCCATATCTATGGTTGATTCACCAACTCTAGTCTTCATTCTCTCTTCTCTTCCACTTTTACTGTGTTCTCCAATATTTCTTTTTTAATCTATTTCCATGTAGTCTTTGAAATCACATACATTAATAGATTCTGCTGTTCAAAATAGTTATTTTGGAATCTCCAATACAAATTAATGTACTAATTTTTTTTGTCTTACATCTTTTCATTAGCCCTTTTCAATAGTGTTAAACTGACTTGATTACAATGGATATTTTTGTGTGTGTCATCTCTACTTTTCGTTGAAACTTAACAATGTTTCTCTTTACCAGCATATAACCATCTTTTTCAAATATTATCTTTGCTTGAAGCTCAAGTGACAGCTTCTTCATATTTTAGTATTTTAGACTTCCTGAGCACTGGTGTATAATACATGTATTTCCTCCACTGATGCTACATTTTTTCACTATTGTTATGCTTCTATTCCTTTTTATAGTTACTCGTTCCAGTACAAATGTATGGTGGTGACAGATATCCTTCTTCAACATGACCAGTTTAAAATTATATCATTATTACATTACAAAATTTTCAGTTTAGAATTCTCCTTATTAACCAAATATTAACCCCTTCTTTATCTCTTTCTTTTTTATTCTACCATCATTTGTTCTTCCAAATTTTTCTCTCTGTCCTCTCCCTGGCTTTTGAAATCTCACTCATGTTTTTTCCTTATCCCTTACCATGATTACAATCAGTAAGTGTCATGATACTCTGCCAACTCTTTAAGATCTATATCAAATAATGTTTGTCCAATTTAAATAACCCTAAATGATCTCTGATATAATACATTTCTAGTTTCTGGTAATACTGTATTTGAAATGCTCTTCTTAAAACAGATTGTTGTTGTTGTTGTTTGCAGTCGAGTCGGCCCTGACTCATAGTGACCCCTCCTTGGGTTTCTGAGGCAGTATCACTACGGAAGTAGGATTGCCCAACCTTCCTTCCGAGGAGTGGCTGGTGGGTTTGAACCGCCAGCCTTCTGGTGAGCAGTCAAGTGCCTTAGGCACTATGCTACCAGAGCTCCTTACATAGAACTCCTTAAAATTGATAGAACTTGAGCGCATATTTTAGGTCTCCACCCCAAATAGAAAATACTTACAGTTTGGTCACTGTGCTATTGAACTAGGACCAACTTACATGGAATGAATAGCTTAGTTCGAATACCTGGTGGTGGTGGTGGGGAAACTTCAAGAAATCTCCAAGAATACCTCCTTGTAAAATTAATATTTGTAAAATATTTTAGATGGAATTCTCTGCATATATTACAAAAATCCTTAAAATTAATTCCTTTGAGGCAGTTACTGGAAGGGACATGTACTTTGCTTTACATTTTGTTTCTATGTCCACTCTTTGAATTTCTTACCTGTAATATCTTTTTATTTTTTCCCCTAAATATATATTTCATTAAAAATATGTAGATTGATGAACTTACATGAAACTACGATCGATTGTTTGATGATAGATGCATTCATTAAATTTACTACAGTAGATTTTAAGGTTCTAGAAAAAAAATCGATCTTAGTATATTCCCTTATGTCTTAAGAGAAATGGCTTTTATTTGTAGAAGTTAGTATTTATTTAATATCATCATCAAAATGAGTAAGTTGAAGTGGAATGAGTCTCCTGTTTGGCTAAATTATTGTTGTTTATCTCTTGTAACCTGAACATATTTTGGTATTTAAGTAATCTGATATATAAAGATATTATTTCCTGACTATATGAATTGTTGGTGATAGGTGAGTTGCTATTCTCAGACTATATGAATTGCTGGTGGATAGGTGAGTTGATAATGAATATTGAGCTCAAACTCGAATGATTGAAAATGTTGTCTTTCATAACTGTCACTATAAGGTGTGAAGGATAGTATGTGCATTGCATCCTTCTTGTTAAAGTATAAGTCAGTGAAATAGAGGTAGACACTCAAAGAGATGAACTGGCACAGTAGCTGCAACTGTGGGCACAAACATTGCAGTGAATGTGAGCATAGTGAAGGATAGGGCATTCTGTTTCATTCTGTTGTGCATTGGGTTGCTATGCATTGGAACAGACGTGATGGCACCTGAAAACGACAGTCTCCTTTACCAGCTGCATTTTCAGACTCATAACTTAAAGGATCCTTATGTCCTCAAAGACAGCATTGTTCTGGAATTGCAGAATATATAAAATGACTTGATGTAGGGAGCAGAATGTCCATTTCCAGACCTGTTTATCCTTACACACTCAACTTCATGTCTATAATAAAGAATCTGCCAATGTCATGTTTCTCCTTGTTTTCACACTCCCTTCTTTTTGTAACCAATGTCAGAAGATATAACAAATAGAACCTCTGCTAATTGCAAGGAGACAGGGAAGATGTACTGGCTTCAAGATTTCAAGACTAAAATCGTTCTTTTTTTTTTGATTTATTGTATATCACAACCTTTTGAAGTAGGTAAACAAGTAGTTTTTGTTCTTGTTGTTCTATACCAGCCTGTTTACTGACAGTTTATTGATACAATTGGTTATATGATTGACTTGGTTAAAATTGCACACTTTACTATTTACAGGTGGCTCTACCTTAGTTATGACACTTTTGTTCTAAAGGTTGTATTTTAAAAAATATTTCTGAACATTTTCTCTCACTAAAGCCCATATCATACTTTTACGACCATATTTTAGAAATGCAATAGCCTTTCAACTTTGAAAACTGAGTAAAAAACATTTTTTTCTTTTATGCTCACAGATCAATTTTAGGTTTCTATCTTGAAGTTTCATGTTGCACTTAATGGAACTGAGGCTTTACTGCTTTCAGGGGAAGATATGCTTTGCATCCTGATTCTGATGTGCTATGTAGCTGTGGGAAGTCCCTATGACATAGTTGACCCTCAGTTTCATTATGTATAAAATTTTGAACAAAACCTGTATTATAAATTTTATATCTATAATTGTTTCAAATACAAAAGTATTCAAATACAAAAGTATTCAAATGATAATGAAAGAAAAATAAATAATTAAAAGTGACATATCACTGACAGAAGGATTGAGAATGTGATCTCTTTGGTGTTTACATTTATTTACTCCAACACTCATAGTTCTATAGTTTTAAAACAATAAATAGAAAAGGAAAATGATCAGTCCACCCAGCATACACCATGTACTAAAGTAGTTTCCTGTTAAAGGAATAGGAACTAATATAAAATGCTTTGAAATGGTTTGAAAGACATTGTAAAACTGAAACCATTTATTTACCTGCATACTTACAGGGGATATCTTGTGTGATTGTTCTTGGATGACTGGAATATTGCAATGACGTGCTCATCCTTGAAAGAGTAAAAGCAAATAAGTCTTTGCCTTTAAAGTAAAGACTTGAAGGATGTCTTTTTCAACCTGAGGAGTTGGCAGGTATATTTGGTTCATTAATGTACTTATTCACTCACTCATTCATCTAATGTATAATTTATTTATAACTAACTCAATCTTTTAAAATAGTTTGGATGACATATGCAAATGCTGGTCTGGATGGTGAGGAATGACTCATGAACAATAGATTGCATGCTGCTTCATAACAT